TCCACTATCTACAAAAAAATAAAATAAAATTACTAATGTTTTGCTTCTGACACTGTCCTGACACACCTGAAACTTGCCTACAGCACTTATTCATTGTTGCTCTTATAGTTGTGTAAATTGCTTCCTTGTCGTCATTTGTGAGCCGCTTTGGATAAAAGCGTCTGCTAAATGACTAAATGTAAATGTAAATAGTGTAGCAATACCATACCGACATTCTTGGGAAAGCCAATTTAATAGGAGGATCTCTTTAAGGGCCTACTCACACTATGCCATCCGTACCATGCCCAGGCCCGTTTCCCGGATCGTTTGAGAAGTGTGAGTGCGCTGAATCGGGCTCAAGCACGGTTCACTTGGCCGGCCCTGGCCCGGTTGGAAGAGGTGGGACTGAGCCCGGTTCACTTGGGCTTTGGCACGGTACACTTGTGTGTGAGTGCAGAACGCGCCAAAGCCCAAAACTGAAAGCGAGACGTGACTTTTAAGGGGTTGTTTCATATTGGTTTATTAATCAATCTTACTGTTCAGTGAACGCAAACTGCCGTAGTTTATTAAAGACGAGAACTCCTCACAGCACAACAGTTGCGTGGCTTCAGCAGACCTCCTCATTCCTGCCGCACGAGAGCTTTATGACTGTTTATGAGCGCCAAAAGTGGCGGATCTGTCCGGCGAAATATCTGACTGCGTGTCACTGCAACCCTAAGGACTGTTTGCCGAAATATTTGACGGCATATCAAACGACTGAAACGATATAACTAGAGAAATCTCCATTGTGCTGCTGAGTGAGAGAGCGCTTCTCACTGAACAGCCCAGCAGCGATGACGTAAGCGTGCCGAGGCCTGTTTGTGGTGTGAGTGCGGGCCGTCGGGGGAGACGGGAGGGGGGACAAGCGTGCTTTGGCCCGGTTCGAAGCAACTGTACCTAGTGTGAGTACGGCCTAAGGGTTTGTATCTCGTGTTCTGCCGTAGATATTCGCTTTTCGGCCTCCAAGATACGCCCACTACAGTCTTTCACGTCCGTTTGGACAACTCTTATTTCCGTCAGTACACCGTCAATTTTTGTGTTAAAGTTTCGTTTTTCCAATCATGAGGTCCTTTGTTGATGGACTTTCCATGTTCATGACTTGTTCAACGTCCGTGGACACGTCAGTGTGTGACTGCACCGGTGAGCATGGCTCGCCTTCAGCTAGCTCCTAGCCAACCTCCTCGCAGCTCTCCATCGTTTTCTTCTCCTTAGCCTCTTTTTTTTGGCATGTTTGAAGCGATTTACTCTTATGCTTACAATTTTGTCTCTTTATATGACCTCTCTCTGGAATATTATGCAGGATTTATTAAAAAGCAATTAAGCAGGAGAAAAACGCGCCGGCATAACCGGAAGTCCAACAGGAGGATCTCTGGAGAGCAAAAGCATGAAAGGAAGAGGAAACACTGCACAAATTGTGAGTCCGCATCATCTGACGCAGCGAGAGCATTGTTTTGAGTGCGTGAGAGAAGTTTTGTGCACAAGCAGCTTATATTTGAGAGCTTGCAAGCAGTTTTGTCCGTTACCGCATAAAAGTTAAAGTAACTATCCCTTTAAATGTTTGTTAAAATGTTTAGATTCCACTGCAAATGAGCAACATGCACACACTGCACTGAAGTGAGGAATTCAGCCATGCAAACTGTCATCAGCAGTATCAACAGAATGCAGGTCACTCAGGATATTAATGAATGATGTTCTGCCGAGAGGTTGAATGATTTAGTTTAATGTGTTTAATGGGGCCGTTAGTTCAATGGCAGCTAATCTCCTATTTTAATTGAAGCCTCGATAATCCAGATTCTACATAATGTGTATTCCTCTAGGAATATACCTGTATCCCACAGTATATAATAACTATTATTGTTTGAAACTGTCAGTTGTTTTAATGCAAGTTATGTGGAACAGAGTGCCTTCACTAACCTGACAAAAGTCTTGTCATGGAAATGGTTACAGGTTTTCATCTCTTGTGTTCAACAGATGTATGTTTTGGAACCACTTGAGGGAGAGTAAATAGTAATTTTTGGATGAACTATCACAGTAATGTTTAATGATAATAATAGACGATATTTTGAAGAAAGATGAAAATCTGTAACTATTTACTTCCATAGCATTTGTTGTTGTTTTTTTTTATATGGAAGTCAATGGTTACAGGTTTTCATCTCCCTTCAAAATATCTCCCCTTGTGTTCAACAGAAGCAAGCTTTGGAACCACTCACGGGAGAGTAAACTGTAATTTTAAGATGACCTATCACAGTAATCATTCATTAATTTTCTTTTCAGCCTAGTCCCTTTATTAATCAGGGGTCGCCACAGCGGAATGAACCGCCAACTTATCCAGCATGAGTTTTACGCAGGGGATGCCCTTCCAGCAGCAACCCAATACTGGGAAACTATCACAATAATGTTGTATGATAATAATATGCACAGGGTTACCTGGATAGATTGAAGAAGATATGCTGAAGGAACATGAAAACCTGTAACCGTTGACTTCCATGGCATCTGGGTTTTTTTCTAAAATGGAAGTCAATGGTTACAGGTTATCATCTTTTGTGTTCAACAGAAGAAAGTTTTGGAACCACTTGAAGGAGAGTAAATAGTAGTTTTTGGATGAACTATCCCAGCAATGTTGAAAGATATAATAATCTGCACAGGGTTACCTGGAGATATAGAAGATATTTTGAAGAAAGATAAAAACCTGTAAGCCTTGACTTCCATTTTTTTTTCTAATGTGGAAGTCAACGGTTACAGGTTTTTATCTTTTGTGTTGAACAGAAGTTTTGGAACCACTTGAGGGAGAGTCAATTGTCGTTTTAAGATGAACTATCACAGTATTCATTTTCTTTTCCACTTAGTCCCTTTATTAATTACGGGTCGCCACAGTGGAATGAACCGCCAACTTATCCAGCATATGTTATACACAGCGGATGCCCTTCCAGCAGCAACCCAACACTGGGAAACTATCACAATAATGTTGAATGACAATAATATGCACAGGATTACCTGAATAGATTGAAGAAGATATGCTGAAGGAAGATGAAAACCTGTAACCGTTGACTTCTATAGCATATGGGTTTTTCTAATATGGAAGTCAATGGTTACAGGTTTTCATCTTCCTTCAAAATATTTTCTCTTGTGTTTAACAGAAGAAAGTAAGTTTTGGAACCGTTTGAGGGAGAGAAAATTTTAATTTTAAGAAAAATGAAAACCTGTAAACGTTAACATAGCATTTGGGGGGGTTTTTTTATATGGAAGTCAATGGTTACAGGTTTTCATCTTTGTGTTTAACAGAAGTAAGTTTTGGAACCACTTGAGAGAGAGTAAATATTCATTTTTGGATGAACACAGCAATGTTGATAATAATCTGCACAGGGTTACCTGGAAGATATTTTGAAGAAAGATAAAAAAAAATGTACCTGTTGTATTGCATAGCATTTGGGTTTTTCTAATATGGAAGTCAATGGTTACAGGTTTTTATCTTTCTTCAGAATATTTTCTTTTGTGTTCAACAGAAGCAAGTAAGTTTTGCAACCATTTGAGGGAGAGAAAATTGTAATTTTAAGAAAGATGAAAACCTGTAAACGTTAACATAGCATTTGGGTTTTTTCTAATATGGAAGTCAATGGTTACAGGTTTTCATCTTTTGTGCTCAACAGAAGTACGTTTTGGAACCACTTGAGGGAGAGTCAATTGTCGTTTTAAGATGAACTATCACAGTATTCATTTTCTTTTCCACTTAGTCCCTTTATTAATTACAGGTCGCCACAGTGGAATGAACCGCCAACTTATCCAGCATATGTTATACACAGCGGATGCCCTTCCAGCAGCAACCCAACACTGGGAAACTATCACAATAATGTTGAATGACAATAATATGCACAGGATTACCTGAATAGATTGAAGAAGATATGCTGAAGGAAGATGAAAACCTGTAACCGTTGACTTCTATAGCATTTGGGTTTTTCTAATATGGAAGTCAATGGTTACAGGTTTTCATCTTCCTTCAAAATATTTTCTCTTGTGTTTAACAGAAGAAAGTAAGTTTTGGAACCGTTTGAGGGAGAGAAAATTTTAATTTTAAGAAAGATGAAAACCTGTAAACGTTAACATAGCATTTGGGTTTTTTCTAATATGGAAGTCAATGGTTACAGGTTTTCATCTTTGTGTTCAACAGAAGTAAGTTTTGGAACCACTTGAGAGAGAGTAAATATTCATTTTTGGATGAACACAGCAATGTTGATAATAATCTGCACAGGGTTACCTGGAAGATATTTTGAAGAAAGATTAAAAAAAATTTACCTGTAGTATTGCATAGCATTTGGGCTTTTCTAATATGGAAGTCAATGGTTACAGGTTTTTATCTTCCTTCAGAATATTTTCTTTTGTGTTCAACAGAAGCAAGTAAGTTTTGCAACCATTTGAGGGAGAGAAAATTGTAATTTTAAGAAAGATGAAAACCTGTAAACGTTAACATAGCATTTGGGTTTTTTCTAATATGGAAGTCAATGGTTACAGGTTTTCATCTTTTGTGCTCAACAGAAGTACGTTTTGGAACCATTGAGGGAGAGTCAATTGTCGTTTTAAGATGAACTATCACAGTATTCATTTTCTTTTCCACTTAGTCTCTTTATTAATTACGAGTCGCCACAGTGGAATGAACCGCCAACTTATCCAGCATATGTTATACACAGCGGATGCCCTTCCAGCAGCAACCCAACACTGGGAAACTATCACAATAATGTTGAATGACAATAATATGTACAGGATTACCTGAATAGATTTAAGATATGCTGAAGGAAGATAAAAACCTGTAACTGTTGACTTCTATAGCTTATGGGTATTTTTTCTAATATGGAAGTCAATGGTTACAGGTTTTCATCTTCCTTCACAATATTTTCTCTTGTGTTTAACAGAAGAAAGCAAGTTTTGGAAGCACTCAAGAAGATTACTATTCCAGTAATGTTGAATGCTAATAATCTTCAGAGGGTTACCTGGATCTTTGGAGCTCCAGGGCTGAGTTGGCGATCTGCCCTCCCTCTAGACAGCAGTAGTTCTGGCTGGACTGCCGGGCGTATGACACCGGCAGGATTCCCTGAGTGTAGGTTTGGAGTCTCCCTCTGGTAGCCGGCGGCACCGCTGAAAACGGGGAGCTGAAGGCGGACTGGAGCAGCTGAGCATCCCCGTCCGGATCCGGAGGAGGAGGAGCCGCCGCGGCCGCGCTGGTAGCCACCGTCCCGGCCATGAATCCAGCGGCGCGGGCAGTACTTAGAGCCTGGTTCGCTGCCGCGGCCAATGCCTGCTGGCCCACCGCACAAACCAGGCTCTCTCTAGTCCTCGAGGCGTCCTCCTCCTCCTCCGCCTGGATGTCCCCGTCATCCTGCACAGGTCGTCCATCCAGAGAGATGTTGCTGAGGAATGAGAGAGCAGCTTGTCTCCGTCGTGGATCAATCACGCGCTTCCGTGTGTGCTCCAGACTGGAGGGCTTCATCTGCAGCGCGCTCGCCATTACGCCCGGGAAAACGCGCGGTGGGGAAAGTCAGCGGAGACTAAAAGTGTTCATGGCGATTGTTTGCATGCGTGGTGGGAAATCGCTGGTCAAAGCGCCATAGCATTGGCTTTTAAGTGGCTGCTGCGTTTTTTTACAGTGTGTGTGTGTGTGTGTGTGTACAGAAAAGCAGGGTCACGTGTGTGCAGTATTGTGGCAGCAGGAGCTACGCTTTGACCAATGGGGATTCACGAAAACGAGGCGCTGTTCAAAAGCACAGCGAGTCCCCTATGTAGACAGCACTTGCAGCGTTCTAGACAGCATTTTTAGTGCGAGTTGTTTAGCTAAATCCATTCTGAACACGCTCTCGATTGATAAAAATGTTGTGTAAGTCAGGAGGCGACATGAATTTTAAAGCACGGCCTGTGTGTTTTTCTTGCTGCCTTCGTTTTTGGTTCCACCCTTTCGGGCTACTTGCACAGGACATTAAAGAAATACATAAAAGTAAACATTTTGGGTACGAACTGTACGAGGTATTCCCATTCATACCGTCCTGACTGTGTGCTCAATAACATTTCACCCTACATTTGCACTATTAAAGTAAAAAGTAAATGGCAAGTCTTGCAACCTTTTTCATGTATTTTGCTTGGTGTTATTTATTGCTGGAAATTAGAATTTTACAGACATAATACTTTAAAATAATAAAGTATATATTTCAATATAATATTTTTTAAATATTTTAAAATAATTTTAATTGTGAGTTTGATGTTTTTAAACACTTAACTGGGCGTTTTTTTAGTAAAGGTAAGAGTGTCCACATGGATAGAGCTTATATGAGGATATATGCATGTGTGTATATATGCCACATATAGGCAAAATTGAAGTGCATATATGTACTGTATTGCTTCTTTATACTCATGTAAATACAATATATGTCTCCTATTAGCTCCCCAGGTAGCAAAGAATTCTGGCCCAGATTTGGCATAAAGCTGGCATTCATCCGGCAATGGCATACAGTATGTGAGCCGAGCATGGCCCGGGCCATACAATAACTTTTCCCTCTGCCCAAGTACCGCAAAGAATGTCAATCATGAAGTGGCCCATAACTGGATTAAAGACAAGTCAACATTTTATAATTTTTTTTAATCAGTATCAATTGTAACAGGTTTATAATTGATACCGATTCTCAGCTATGAGTTTATACTTTAACCAGAAACCCCAAAAACTGAGCCATAGTCTAGCGTAGTTCTAACGTTATCTAAACAATGTGAACAATCGCTACACTGATCTGGGCCACATACCTACCATCCACAACTGGCCCACATGTAGTTTGCCGTCACTGCAGTGCCCACATAGCAAAATTTCTCTGGCCCAGCTCTGGCCCACACAATCAGGTTTAGCATGGCCCACATGCCGCAGTGAATTACGATACGACTGGACCAAATCTGGCTTCCAGACAAGGGCCAAACATGTACCATATCTGGGCCAAGTCTCAGCCAAGTTAATTACTCATAACTGGGCCAAATAGGTTGGTGTCAGATAGGTTGGTGGATCAAGACTGGCCAAACTCACATGGCCCACATATCCATTTTTAAAATCTGGGCCAAATACTACATTTTAAATCTAGCCCAAGTATTGTGTGCCAACTTAAATACGGTGCCACCTCTGCCAAACCAGGGCCATGTTTGGCCCACATGCTGTATGCCAGTGCCGGATGAATGCCTGCTGTGCCAGATTTATGTCCAATATGGGCCAGAATTCTTTGCTATCTGGGAACTATTATGTTTAGAAATTTGTTGAAGAAGTCTTCTCTCCGTTAACAAGAAATTGGGGGAAAAAATAAGCACAGGGGTGAATAATTCAGGGGGCTAATTATTCTGACGTCAACTGTATATATATAGTGTAGTCCTGCACTGGCATACAGCATGTGGGCCAAACATAGGTTTGGCAGAGGTGGCGCCGTCCTTAAGGTGGACATGGGCCAGATATCAAATGTAATATTTGTAGTATAATATACCCTAGCAGCAAAGAATTCTGGCCCAGATTTGGCAAAAAGCTGGCACAGCAGGCATTCATCCGGCACTGGCATACAGCATGTGGGCCAATCATGGCCCGGGTTTGGCAGAGGTGGAACCGTTTTTAAGGCGGCAGACAAGATTTGGGCCAGATGTAAAACGTAGTATTTGGCCCAGATTTAAAAATGTGATAAGTGGGCCATGTGAGTTTGGCCAGTCTTGACCCACATTTAAAATACACTAAAATCATTTTTGAGTAAAGAAAAAAAATTCTACCAATCAGGTCACTTTGAGAAAAAGCGTGCCCATAGTGTGCCTAAAGCGCATCACTCCATGGGTTTATCAATTTCATTGCAATCGTGACACACCAACCTATCTGGCCCAGTTCAGGCCCAGTTATGAGTTATTAACTTGGCTGAGACTTGGCCCAGATATGGTCTGTGTTTGGCTCTTGTCTGGAAGCCAGATTTGGTCCAGTCATGTACCGTAATTCACTGCGGCATGTGGGCCAAGCAAAACCTGATTGTGTGGGCCAGAGCTGGGCCAGAGAGGTTGGTGTGTCACGATTGCAATGAAATTGATAAACCCATGGAGTGATGCGCTTTAGGCACACTATGGGCACGCTTTTTCTCAAAGTGACCTGATTGGTAGAATTTTTTTTCTTTACTCAAAAATGATTTTAGTGTATTTTAAATGTGGGTCAAGACTGGCCAAACTCGAATGGCCCACTTATCACATTTTTAAATCTGGGCCAAATACTACGTTTTTTATCTGGCCCAAATCTTGTGTGCCGCCTTAAAGACGGTGCCACCTCTGCAAAACCCGGGCCATGTTTGGCCCACATACTGTATGCCAGTGCCGGATGAATGCCTGCTGTGCCAGCTTTTTGCCAAATCTGGGCCAGAATTCTTTGCTACTAGGGTAGTATCAGATGTTCAAAATATATATGTGGGCCACGTAAGTTTGGCCTATCTTGACCCACTTTTAAATGATTTCTAAAAAAATGAAAACATTCTACCAATCAGGTCGCTTCGAGAAAAAGCACGCCATAGAATTCTAAAGCGCAACGCTTCATGGGTTTATCAAATTCATTGCAGTTGTGACACACCAACATATCTGGCCCAGTTCAGGCCCAGTTATGAGTTATTAACTTGACCCAGATATGGTCCATGTTAGGCCCCTTGTATGGAAGCCAGACTTGGTCCAATCCTGTACCGTAATTCACTGCAACATGTGGGCCAAGCAAAAGTTGATTGTGTGTGCCAGATCTTTGCTATGTGGGTTGCAGCCTTTGTGTTGCACGACAAATCTTCATTGTTCTAATGAAGGAAAAAGTCTCCTGCATCTTGGATGTACTGAAGCAAACGTTTTGAGGGAACTATCCCTTAAGCTGGATTGTTCATTAGAGTGACCTATGGATCATTTAGTTATTGAACATGACAGGAGAATAAAAGAATGGATGAATGTTAAATGGGATATTTTAAGAGTCGGTTGCTCTTACAAGTAAGCTAAAGACCATGGCCTCTAGCGTCTGTCGCTTGAGCACCTGGTCAGAGGAGTGAGGTTTACCTGCACAGCACTTTCTAGCTGGCCTCCGGTACACTGGTATAAAGTATGTTTTGATGCTGGTTATGTGCTGGTCAGACTAGCAAAAACAAAGATGAAAACATACAGCAGCACACAGTATGCTGATACTGATTCAGCAGGGTAGATTCAGTTAATTATGGACTTTTTTGTGTTATTTTTATCGTAACAGCGCCGTCTAGTGTTTATTTTAGTTAGATGCATCTGCCTTGTGGTTATATGTTATGTGGGTATATCGCTCTGCAAAAATGTTATTCATATAGCGGTTGAAATAAAGGTGAACAAAATAATCTTAAGGGAGGCTTGACTAACATGGGGATAGTTGTAACACACATGGTTTAAACATTTCCAGATGTTTCCATACAGCAAGCATTTTTATGTGCACATTGTGAATTTGGTAACACAACAATTCACACAATTTACTCAATATCACCTGCCTATTATTAAGATATTAACTGTTTATTAGCACTTATAAAGTATGATCTAAATCCACAGACCCAATACCAAAACCCAACTACTAATTAATAAACTAAGTAGTTTATTGAGTTAAAAGTCTTTAGTCACTGGATGGTTTGTTAATAGTGTAAATTTAAAATAAAGTGTGACCTAAAGATCTTGAAAAAAAAGAAAACCATAAGGTTAAATTTGGACTGTCAGTAGAAAATCTAATATGCGTATATGAAATCCCTGCTGAAAAGTCCAGTTTAAACCAGCCTAGGATGGGTGGCTGGTTTTAGCTGGTCGACCAGCCTGGTTTTAGAGAGGTTTTGGCAATTTCCCGGCTGGTTTCCAGCCATTTCCAGCCTGGTCTTAGCTGGTCAGGCTGGGAGACGACCAGCTGAAACCAGCTTAACAAGCCTAGCCAGGCTGGGAGCCCAGCCAAAACCAGCTATGTCCAGCTTAAACCAGGCTGGTTGGTTTTAGCTGGTCATTTTCTAACCTGACCAGCTAAGACCAGCTGAAAATGACTGGAAACCAGCCTGGAAACGGCCAAAACCATGCCATGTTCAAAGCCACTCAAATCACCTTTCTTCCCCATTCTGATGCTCGGTTTGAACTGCAACAGATCGTCTTGACCATGTCTACACGCCCAAAACGCATTGAGTTGCTGCCATGCGATTGGCTGATTAGAAATATGTGTTAACGAGCAGTTGGACAGGTGTACCTAATAAAGTAGTCGGTAGGTGTGTCTGCACAGAATTGTGGCGCAAAAATAACTCCATATTTTAGAAAGTCAAAAAAAACAACACATCTGTACTCTGGAACAGTGTAAGTTCCCGTCTCATTACTTGTCAAGAACTCAGTACTTGAGGATTATTTACACTCAATTCTGGGCGTTTTTTCGTGGTGTCCACTAGATGGCGGAGGAGTTTAAACTGAGCACTCGTGCATGTTTATCTTGTGTGTGAAATATTCCAGCGATGAAATGAATGAGGGCGGTGATATAAAGCAGGGGGTAAATATTAGAAGTTCATTCGCCGTTTTGTAAGAGATACTCTGGAATGCTTACTCAATCAGTTCCCGAGCTCGCAGGAGGACAGTGCAGAGGAAATGAGGTGGAAAAGTGTGGTGCAATTTGGGAGCGTTGCAGTGTTTTATGTTATATGTGGAGACGTGTAGTATATATTCCTGTTTATTACACAATTTTTAGCAATATGGTTTAATAATTGGCATAATTGTTTAGTGACTACATTTTTTATGAGCTCGTAATTACTGGAAGACAATGTGTTATAGCTGTTTTTTCATATAAGATAATGCTGACAGACTACATCTTTTGGTCAAGCTGATTTAAATATTATATTAATATGACTTCTACGCCTGTTTGTTTCTACGTTGGGTTTTATTACTCATATTTTCTTTTACAGCATTTTATTTTTGCATTGATGCCTAATATCTCCAGTGGCGCCCCCAGAAAATTTTCTTAGGGGTGGCCAAACAAGGCCACACAAAATCTTGGGGTGGCACACAAAAACTTATAAATTGTGTATATATTGTGAATAATGATGTTTTATT